CCTTTTACCTCGCATCTCCATCTAGCATCTAGCTTACCTACGCTTTTCCGGGGGTGTCCACTTCGAAATGATTTGAGCGCACCGCTAGTCTCCTGGAAACTGCATTACCACTTGGCTAATCATGATTGGCAAGACTTGATGAATAGGGGACAATGCTAATGCGAACATTGGTCACCTTGACAGTGCAACCAGCCATTAGATCTATCCCTCCATTGCAGCGTTGCGCCTTCAGTGTATATACCTTACCGTTAAGTGTTATACATCAATGGGTGCAATAATAGCGAGGTTGGAGTGTCCAGATAGTCTCACCGCTTCATCACTGTCTCCTTTTGAACAGACCTAAGGGACTGATAATGACTGTAATATATATGAATGAAAAGAGACAAGATAGATGTAAAAATCAAGGCTGCTTTTCAAACGGGAAGGTGGGTCCCTGGGCGCTTTTGTCTCGCAAAGGACATCGAGATTTCCCTTTTTCACCTACAAAATGGGGTCAATGACAGAGGATGGTCCAGTCGCCTCTGCAAAGCGCCTTTTGAGGCTCCACTCTGGCAGGCTGTCAATAATTGGTTTCTTTTGTGAGGCGGCATTTTTCCCTCCTGGATAGCCATTATAACTGGCACACCCATCCGATTGTTTGCGCAAATTCTTCTCTGACTTCCAACCGATATCTTCATCTATTGTCGCTAATTAGTATGCTTGCCACATTAGCCAGCTTTGACATTTCCTCTTTTTCAATTTTTTTTTTGCTTTCAGCAGACAAGATACGGCTCTTCCAACCGTTTGTGGTGGTATGAGATCGGCTATCTAATATAAAACTGCGCTTTAAACCCCCTGCAGTGAGCTTGCTGATTAGCCAGCCTACTACTACCACCAGCACTACTCCCTCTTCATGAATGGGAATACTGGATTCTAGCCACGCATTGGTAATGAATACAGTCTCGCTCGCTGTAGGAGACATTCACTATTTAACAGGCGCTCAAAGGAAATGCCGGGGAAGGTATTTTTTTTGCACTTTTTTCCTCTGTTACTGTGTGCGACTCGACTTTGACGAGACAGAGGTGCCATTTCAGCAGATGTTTATGATTGATTGAGCTGCCGGTGCGTTGGCTCCATCAGGTGAGGTGCAGTGTTTTGGAGCCCAGGCATAATCAATAGGAAATGTCCCTCGAGCTAAAATCAGTACACAGTGTCTTATTGACGGGCTGCCCTTGACGTGATCAAATGGCCCGCCGCCCCCACAGGTACAGCACCGCAACATAAATCTACAATATCAGCCGGCACAAAGGTGGAGCTGGGGCTTTGTGTGAGAAGATCTGTGTTAGCCTAGCAGCGAAAAGTCAGAGGGAAACATATTAATTTGTGGATTGGGATCGTCTTAAAGTAACAGTACTCGATTTTTGTCCATGCAGTCGAGCAAAATTTGTAACAGATCTATTGTATAAGCAGCTCTTGAGGTCTGAATAAGTTTGCTGCATGCCGTCTGCATCCAATTGTAAAATGTGTTTAGGTCCAAGAACCAGGAAGTGCACTCGTAGCATGCTAGTTACTTATAGCAGTGATGTGAACATTGTGGAACACGCTTACAAACTCGCTGCGGTGAATAATAAGTGGGTTTTTATGAAGAACTTTGCTCCAGCTTTTGTGGAAAGAAAGAAAAAGAAGGAAAGAACACTCCTGTAATTCAGATTAAAATGTAATGATAATACAAAATTATAACACAATTTTTAATTAAAGATTCCTTGGTTTGAGTGTTCAAGCTTTGATCAAGTAGCACTGTAGGTTAAGGTTAGTGTTGGAATGGAGGGGAGTGGTTTTCACAATATAATAACTAGTGTTTAAGTTAGATGCAGACAACCATGACACTACTGTTTTCCTCATGTCATTGAGCCATATCTAAATGTCCTGTATAGCTCCCGTGCTTCCACTCCCAAGCTGCATGCATCCTGACCAGCTAATCTCCTGCTGTGATTAAACACCCATGACATCAGCCCACACGTTCATATGGCACCCAGGCAGGCGGGAGGAAATGATGTCATTCTCCCAGGCCTGGCAGGGACAAGGCCCACCCACGGGAGATTTACGGGCGAGGTCGGGATGCTAATCATTAAGAATAGGACCATAAAAGGTCTTTTTCCCTCTGTAAATCCCTGTGTCATACCAGGTCAGTGAAGACTATTTGTGGAGATGTATGACTCAATGTATGTACGCATTACATTAGGCTAAGAGCTGAAGGGGTTAAATATGTAGGGCCATGTTGGATGAATACAGCAGTGGGGAGCATGACAAAGCAAATCACGCCTCCTGTGTGGTACTGCGCTGTAGGCTGATAATGAGCCTCTTTAAATGCTCCCTGCAATCAAGGGACCACTGATATAAACATTCATTTAGGCTTCTCCCCCTGCTCCCAAACTGTTCCAAACACTTGTGTCTGGGCGGCACACACTGAAGATTGCAATTAATTTAGAAACACAATTGTGCTCTTTGGAGGCGGCGGCTCTGAAGTCCAAACGTGGAAAAAACACAGTAATGGAGGAACTCGCCTCTGCTTATCTTATCTGATTCACATTTAGATAAGCATCAAGCCCAGATATTTTCTGTCATTTTGAAAAATGTGTCTCCCTACTGTTCCAGCTGCCAAAAGCATTAAAATGTAGGAGAAAAGGAGCGGGCTTATCCAGATGCCTGTTGCATCTTATCACTCTCAGCACTGAATCCAGTTTAAAGGGAGCGGCTCTCCGGTGTCTGTGTACACAGCACAAATCTGCAGGAAGTGGCCAAACACCTCAGGCTACGCTTTATAGACTTTCTATAAATCCCCACAAATAGATTAATGGATCCAAGCTGAAGCAGACAGGAATGGATGTGATGTCCAGTTAGAGAGGCAATATCCTGGCCCGCACACTGGGAGCGGCACCCTGGACTGCCGCCTGCAGAAAGACTCTTTGTTCCAACAAGGTGTTGAGCAGGGCTTTGTTCCTCTGCACTGTCTGGCCTTGGACACAGAATAGTAAATGGGGCATCATTTGTGAGCTGACTGCTGACAGCCCAAGGCTGCACACACATCTTCAGCTGTGAGCCATGGCCAATTAGGTGAGGCTAACATGTCCATGTATCTATCTTTGTCTATGTCCATGTAACATCTGTGAACACTACGTGGCATCAGAACACTAGTCCACACACTTGTGGTCCATGCATGTCATAAAGCAGGCTTGAAGACTCTAACACAGACATGCATCCTCACACACAGATCCTGCATTAGATCAGGATTCACACTGTTCTGTGGACTGGGCTGGAAAACGAGGGATTAGGGTGTCCTCTGGGAGCAGCCTGAATCTCAGAGATCATTTGGAACACTGGAGGGGGTACAGCGGGGTACAGCGGTGCAGCAGAGTGAAAGAAGAAAAGAGGAAATGGCCATAATGAAAAATATTCAACAGGAAGAGTCTGTAAGCAAAGACAGAAGAGAAGGGAGAAGCCAGAGAGAGTCAGTGCAGGTAGTCTCTCCATCACCGGGTCTGGCGGAGAGCCAACTAACGCTGTTTGACCAGGTAAATCATTTCTGCCTTTGAGAGACAGAGGAAATGTGTGTGCAATTCTGAAATAGTCGAGAAAGGCTCGACTCCCAAAGATGGAAATCCACATAAGCCAAGAGACTGTTGGAATAGTAGCAGAAAAAACACCAATATTCCACGAAGTGCAGTTTAGTGCAGCGAATCTGGTGTTTTCTCACAAAACCGAGTCGATTGCACACAACTTCTTGTAAAGCAGTCATTACAGAGTATACAAAGACAGCAGCAGAGCCATTTAGCCAAAGTCAGTGTACTATTCTTTTCTTCATAACTATATCCCTATGGCTGCATCTAAAGGCTAAACTGTGTTGCTAGGCAGGTCTTCATTTATGAATAGGAAGCAAATTAAAGTGCAGGAGTCCAGCTGCTGCAATTCTTCACAGCGATTAGTTCATTGTAGCGCTGGCATTCTCTCTAAATGTGCCTTAACTAGTCTGACTATCAGGCCTGGAGGGGAGGCCCAAGCACAACGTGTAAGCACCACAGGAACCATTTGTCAGGTATGGAGATAAAGAGCCTGGAAGAGGCCTCTGGAGGGGGACGAGAGACTCTGACCCTGCAGTTTACAAAATCCACACACTGCAGATTCACATGTGCCTGTATAAACGCCTGGAGGAGGAGGAGAAGCGGAGTTTTGGTGACAGTTGCTGATGAAGATGTATTCTTGTAGTGCGCTGGCATAGATTAACAGTGTCTTTCTTCTCTGTCTCCTTTGCTCTCACTGACTCAGGCACTGCTGCAGGTATGGAGCTGGCGGGTGGATCCAGGAGGAACGCTGCTCCTCCACACCGCATACTGAACTCTCTTTCACCCATTGTCCCACCCACGGCTTCCCCTCAGAACACCCGGCGCAGTCGTCCATGCAAAATCTTCTGGCAAGCTGCGCACACTATTATGATTCATGAAAGATAAATGCATGCAAGATTCTGACTGCACAGTACAGGTATTTTGAGACAAAGTTATGTTTACGCTTCTCTTTGCAATCTGGAAATCCTGAGAGGGCGGCAGATTTAGGACTGTAATAGTAGTAATAAAGAAGTAACAATGGCATAGTCAGTTAAGCTTTTGCCCACAAAACAAGGAGTGTCCTGTTCAAATCTTGATCCAAAAAAAAAAAAAAAAAAAAAAAGAAGCCAAAGCATTCTGGGTCACTGTGTTAATACCATAGGATCATTTGAGTACTAGTTGTATCTAGTTGTAGTAGTAGTAGTAGCAGTAATAGTAGTAGTTGTGGGGTAGTCAGTTAAGCTTTTACCCAATGACCAAAGAGTGTCTGTTTCAAATTTGGTTTGGCACTGTCCCAGAATACATTGGTTGTAAGAGAAAGGGCATCTAAGGTAAAAAAAACAAACAAACAAAAAAAAAAACCCGTAAATCACCAAATCATACGGGTTCGGGAAGTAATCCTGAATGAGTAGTTGAGTGGTACTAGTTGTATCAGGTAGATAGATAGTCAATAGATTTTACCCAATAACCAAAGAGTGACCAGTTCAAATTTGGTTCATAATGATTCCCTGTGGTAGTCCTGAATGAGCAGTTTAGTAGTGCTAGTTGTATCAGCAGCAGTAGTAGTACTAGAAAAGGTATTACTATAAGTCACACTTTTTCATAGAATGTGTGGTCCTGTGACTTATATCTGGTGCAACTCATAAATTAAAATTTTCACACTAACGGCCGCCTAGAGGGCGCTCAAGGCTCGTGTGCTCCTATACCACTGTCACTTTGCACTCTACTGTGCATGTCGGCTGCAGAAGAAAGAGAAAGAGCCACTGTCCTGTCTGGTGTCATGTCGGTCGATCACACCATTACTACTGTATCACTGACAATTTGAAATTTAAACAAACATAAAGACAACTGAAACCATCCTGTCGGGATTCAGAAAGGCCGGAATAATTCTAACTGGAACTGATGCTGAGTCTGATGACAGCGACGCAGAAGAGGAAGCGGTGCTCCATTTACCTCCGGAGGTCGTGGAGTTGCTCAGAAGTGACACAGAAGTGAGAATGAAGAATTCAGAGGTGATCTGGAGTGAGATGGAGAGTTTGGTCAACTTGTTCTGTTCTGTTGTTTATGCTGTGTTTATGTGAAGAACTGTTCATATGTGACATTATCAGCTTGTTGTTCTCTGTTCTATTGTTATTACTGTAACTTGCCTTTCAAGATTAAATGTCGGCTCCTGGTCTCTGATTTTATAAAAATAAATTTCCCCCAAAAAGTGCAATTTATAGTCCGGTGTGACTTATATATGTTCTTTTCTTCTTCATTATGCATTTTTTGGCTGGTGGAACTTATAGTCAGAAAAATACAGTAGTAGTATTTGTATAACTTTCACCTCTAAAATGAAGACTGTATTGTTGACAAAGATGGCTTCATTAAACTACTATAATATCCATGTATACTAACCCAAAGTCCAGATGGTGATAGGTGTGTGAGAGTGGGGCGGAGGTGAGAAAAACCAGGCGTTACTTCTGCTCTACTTGCATGCTTCATTAATCATTTAGTGCCAGTGCTAAGACACCTCGCGATTATTTATTTGCACTTCTCCAGGCTGAGGCTATCACAACAAACAGGCCCGCAGGCGAGCTCAACATTTGGGAGTGATTAATCAGAGGAGGGACCTGACATGGGGGGAGGGGCTGCTGCTGACACGTGCTTTTGAATCTAATGGTGAAGTTTAAGGGAAAAGGTAAAGAGAGATGCAGGGAGGGTAATTTGGGTGATAACTGGTGCGTTACATTATGTGAAAGATATGGAAACCTGTGTGGTCCTGTCTGATGGGCAGAGATTTTAAGATTTGTATTGGATAAAAAAACTGGAAGAAGAAAGTTTAAATCAATTGGAAGAAAATAGTGCCAGCTCTATAAAATATATTCTTTAAAGGTCCCATACTAAAATGCAAAATGGACTCCTCAAAAACATACCTGGAGTTGTATTTTGTTTCATTCACACATGTTTGAGTAACTCTTTGTTATCAGTCTGTCTACGTCTCCAAAGCTCAGAATGCTCTGTTACACCTTGTGATGTCATGAAGCAGTAGTTTTCAAGTTAACAACTACATTTTCACATTTTGTTTAGCAGAGATTGGCAGTACCATGTCTAAAATGATCCAAATGATTCTGGTGAAGGTGTATGGAGTTTAAAAACACCAAAATACATCAATCCTGCATTACCACATGACATCACAAGGTGGAACAGAGAATATTTGAGAGAAGAATACAGCCTAAATATGCAGGATTTGTGCGTCGAACATGTGTGAATGAATGTTATGTTGTTTACGTATGTTGTATGTGTATGTTATCAAATGAAAGCAGTAAGTATATTGTTGTCCAAAGCAAGAAAAATCATCTGACAAAGGCTTTTTTGCTGAAATGACATCGGCCATCTGAGTGTGCTATGCATTTTTTCACTTTTATTGTATGTGTATGTTATAACACAGATCAGAAAATAGTGTAATAGGGGCCATTTATATTTTGAATGTGCTCTATGTAACTTCTCTGGTGGGGGGGTCTGTCACCATGGAGATTTGTGGTGATAAACAGCTTTTTAATTGCTAAAAAATACCATGGATTTTTTTCTTTTTGCGGATCTGACTCATAACTTTGGAGTGCCACTTCACCGGATTGTCACCAAGGAGAGAGATAAGTTTAATGCGGCTAACTACTCCCTGACTACTTTTTCTTTCTTTTACAAAACACCGACCTAACAAAACTGAGTAGCTGATATGCATATTTGAAAAAGATAACACTGTATTCTATCTCCAGTCCTTTTCAGATTCGCACCTCACCTCCTGACACCAAACACAATGTCCACGCGTCGCATTGTTCCTGAATGAGAGACTCGAAGCACAAAGAGTAATACCCGAACCTTAATAAAAAAGCACAGATAGACACGGAGCTGGTACATGATTAGACTTAAGCAGTTTATCCACATCACCCTCTCATAAAGTCAGAAACCACACGGCGGTACAGGGCCACATAGCGCGTTCCAGGATAATGGGATTTTTAGTACACCGCATCTGGCTCTCACGGGCTGGGTCATGAACGATTACTGCCTCTAATCCTCCCCATTCACACAGAGCACAAAGCTATGGTGCTGCTTTCAATGCTAGATGCACTGTTTGGCGGTTAGAGGCAGGACAATAACTTTTCATCTTTACTAATCCCGCACTAAGAGACATTGATGTAAACAAATACGAGTTATGAGCCCTCTTGTATGCTCCATTAGCCTGATTAGGTATGGATCGCAGACTTCACTGTAGTTAATTCCTGCCAGTTGGTACGTGGCCGATCTAATCTGGAATGTGTATAGATCAAAATTATATAGCTACCATTATGTACAAGTTGCTCAATGAGTGCGTTTATAAAGAAAAGTTTGATCATAAAAAGTAGCTCACACTTCATTTTGATTGGTTAAGTCCCGCTGTTAGTCATTCAGAGGCTGATCAATTGGAGAAAAGGGTGGCCACATTCTAGTCAGTCTATCCCTTGGGTGGTCCTGCGACTTATACTCCGGTGCGACTTAGACATTAAAATTTTCACACTGACAGCCTCAAACGGCCACTTTAGGCTTGTGTGTCAGTATCAGCTACTTCTAATACTCCTGTACCACTGTCACTTGGCTCTACTGCACATGTCTCCTGCAGAAAGAGCTGCTGTCTTGTCTGTATGATGTCTGTCTATCGCACCATTACTTCTGTACCACTGAAAATTAAAAAATTTAAGTGACTTCAATGACAACCAAAACCATCCTCCAGAGGTCAGAGTTGCTCAGAAGTACCGAGGATGAAAATGTCAATAGATTTAGTGATTTGGAGTGAGATGGAGAGTTTGGTAAACTTGTTCTGTTTATGTTATAGTTATCTGAAGAACTGTTCATATGTGACGTTAACAGCCTGTTGTTCTCTGTACTATCACTAGCCTTTCAAGATGAAATGTCGGTTCCTGGTCTCTGATTTTATAAAATTTATTTCCCCCAAAAAGTGTGACTTATAGTCCAGTATGACTCATATATGTTTTTTTCTTCTTCATTACGCATTTTTTGGCTGGTCCGACTTATATTCCAGAGTGACTTTTAGTATGAAAAATGTGTTACATATTAAACGGCCTATATTATTATATTTTCTTGGCTTTCTTCATCAAAATCATTACCTTGAGTTGTGTTTTGCTTCATTCGCACATTTAACACACAACTTATTTAGCATATTTAGGTTGAGTTCTTCTCTCAAAACTGAAAACACTCCACATCTCCACCTTGTAATGTCATGTGGTAATACAGGAAGTGCTCCACTGTTTTCACAAGAATCATTTGGCTAATTTCAGCCCTGAGGAACTGTCCCATCTCCACTCAACGAAAAGTAAAATGTAGCTGTTAACTTGAAAACTACTGCTTCATCACATTGGAACAGAGCATTTTGAGCTTAGCAGAATAATAAAGCGTTAATTAAACATGTGTGAATGAAACAAAGCACAACTCTAGGTCTGTTTTTGAGGAGGTAACGGGATTATAACATTGCTTAAAGTGCACAAAAGTCAGTTCTGTGTAATATAGGACCTTCGATTTGAATGATTTGCCATGGTCCAAAGTTAGCCCTCACATACCGTATGCATTCCAAGCAATTATTCACTGTGATGAGTTTATAAACGCTTTTCACAACTTTCAGAGACCAGCACTGAGTTTGACATCACGGAAAAGCTTACAGCAACAAGCATGCTAATGTGCACTTCTTGATTATCGGACAATAAAACGCTTTATAATAAGATACAGACAGAACACAGTGAAGTTATTCTGACCTCAAGAGCTGCTTATGCAATATACAATACAAAGCTGTACTGAGGCAAATACACAGAAAACAACTGGCTACAGGCCCTTGAAGCGTAATTCTAGCAACATCTAAACATCTAAATGCTTTAAGATGCTGTGCTAGTAGAATATATTGAGTGAATAAAAGCAATAGCTCCAACAATAGCCATACCCCCTGAAGTAATCTGCATTTCATTTGTAAAAACAGACAAACAGAAGGATGGGGGGGGGGGGGGACCTTTCAAACAAAGCACTAGCGTACAGGGAAATCAGACTCAACTTGGTGATTGGGCATCTATTAGTCATTTATGAGGTATCGAAGACCACGGTTAAACTCACCGGGCGCCATCTCTGTTCGTGCGGACGGTGCGACGCAAAGGCTCATGGGAGCTCGGGCCTGGGGGGGGAAGTCCATTTGCCATCTCACACAATAGCATATAAAAGTCTCCAATGCAATTTCCGAGCACGCCGCATTTGAGTTTTCCTTATTCTCCCACATTCCCACACGATGCTGCAGGAATACAAATCGCAGCTATAATAGACTTGATTTGCATGACACCTTTGACAGAATGAGGTTTAGATGGCGCGCCTCTGCCCCCCAACATCTTCATATCTATTCAAATCGGAGGAAGT